GTGGTGCCAGAACCTCCATCGTCATCATGATACACGCCCAAAACAGAAAGACCTGAGCCTTCAGTCTTTTATTCAAACACACAACCCCTATGCCCTAAGCAGTTGCCCCTGCAGTCTTAATGCCGAAGCACCGTTTCAGTCGTTCAGGTTTGCATGTTATCTCATTTTGGCATGCACGCCCAGCCCTCAAGCATGCCGTCACCGACAGGGCTTCATTGAGCTCAGCATGTCGGTGAATGGCCTTGGTCCGAAGAGAAGGATTTAAGATGATTTAAGCCTATTTAAGCCTTAGGGTTTTGGGGCTTTGGCGCCTGAGGGTTAAAAGGGCTTTCGGGCTTAGGCAACCATGCGTCAAACAGGGTTTCACTTTGAATGCTGCCCAAACAGAAACATGAAGTGCCACACAGACTAACCTGCAATGGAGATCTAGAGGCCTGCAAGGGGTTGGATGATGTTGCAGCACTGTTGCAATAGGAGCTACTGCAGCTGTTGAAGCCACAAGAGCACCAGACTTTGCGCCGACTTGGAGCTTGCGTCAAACTTCCCAAATAAGGGGAGCTTGCCTCGAGTTACACGGCTTCGATTCATTTCTTTGCTTGGGGCAAAGGATCTCACATGAAAAAGATTAGTCAGGTGCGCGCGCGCGGTGTGTCGGTGTGTCGGTGTGTGCGTGTGTGTGTGTGTGTGTGTGTGTGTGTTGTGTGTGTGTGTGTGTCTGTGTGTGTGTGTGTGTGTGCGTGTGTGAGTGTGAGTGTGAGTGTGAGTGTGTGTGTGTGTTTGCGTGTGAATCATTCCATGTCTGGCTTTTTGCCTGGAATCTCGGGTGAGTTGTCTGAAGAAGCACATGGCCTCTTCGGTCGAGGAAACGATTGCACTGTGGAACAGAACCCGGACTGTTGTGTCTCGGAGCTCTATGTAACGGAAACAGCGGTTGAACCGAATCATGACTGAATGTGTCTCGGAAGGCAGCTGTACAGTACTGTTATAAACTCTAGGCCCAGAAGCGAGACTCGCGAGTTGTCGCTCGTACGCGAAACACATTCGGCACTGTGGTTTCCAGGCTCAAACCGAAGAGCCATTCTCGTCATCACTCAGAGTTCGTCGTGGGAAAGCGGGAGGCCAAACTTGGCAGACGACTTCTCCAACTTCCACACCTGTCTTGACGAGACTGGCGCGGGACGCAGCTTGCCACGCACGGGAAACTGAACTACTCACAATGCCCATTTCCCTGAGTAATTGTCCGTGCAGGTTCGCATCTTGATATCATGATCGTCATGCTTCTTACACCTTCGAGCAAGAACCTTGAACTGATGGCACCAGGGAGCAGAAAGCCCTCAAGATCTGCAGTTCTGAAAGCCCTACAAGGTGATCTGAGACTTATGAAGACCTGCAGTCCCCTCTGGTATTCGAGATGCTCCTCCGCAGCTGTTGATAGATGACTCCACAAGATGCAGCCGTGGCACATCATGGAGGTACCCGCCGCCACCATACCTTGTCTGCCGCAGCTTCCATTGAATAAACAGTAGACTGTCAACGGGTCTGCCTGGTCCGCAGAACCATCTTCAGATTAAAGCGGAAACTGAACCCCAGACATCAATGCGCTTTTCCCAAGAAGCTCATACATGCGGGTCTTGGGTTTCTGGACTCTGGCAGCATTCAAAACTGGGAATGCCGAACTCATACGCAAAAACTGTAAACCTCGAACCCCATCGCAGGCTGCTCATCCACAATGCAGCCACATTGGCAAGGTCCCGCCACCGAAGATCAGGATGGTATCATCTGTCGTAACACCTTCGCATTTTAATCTTGTCGAAGTAAAGGTGTGCTAGAGAAACCGTCTTAGACTCTGCAGATTCTTTCATGCGTCGAAGGTCAGATGGGAGTAAAAGTATGCAAGGCCGGCACAGAAACAAACAACATGGGTACCGTCAGGGATCCTCGCAAAGCTAACAGTGCTCGTCCATTGTAGTCTTTCAGTGTGTTGGAACATAATGTGTGTAGTTTGCCACTGAAAAAGCGTAGTTGCATATTGCCGGTATAGCACTATTCAATGCATACCCAGTACACATGCCACTGAAGAAAGCCTACTTAACCATCGAATGTAAAAAGAAACAAACTACTTCATGAGTTGCCAGTCAGACAACCTTTTGATGTGCCTATGCATGACTGCAGCGGGACAGCATGCCACGAGTGATCTATGGACTAGCGAATATGGTAGCACGCCCGGATCAGATTGAACATCGTCCTTCTTCAATTCTTTCAGTGGATATTTGATAAGCCATGGCGGGGATACTACAACACACATAGCCCCAAGCCCCCAGACCTGCAAACCCTGAACATCCGTGGACCCTTTCTGCACCTACGGCGACGTCATCCCTGGGCGTCCAGGGTGCCTCACATTGGGGTTTGGGCACTTAAGGGTCCAGTTCGGCTTAGTGTTGGGACTGTTGTTGTAGGTGCACCGGTCTTTGAGTCTGTGCAAAGGTTTCAGGTGTGGTTTGGGATACGGTCTACGAGGCTACATGTTCCGGGCTGCGCAGTTCCTCATGAAGGCTACGGACTTCCGGCATTACGGCGACGTTTCACCCATCAGTGGCAACTCGCAACATGTTTCAGGCAGGCCTTTTTGGAGATGTTTCGTGGTTACTTCGCGCCCCTGCTAAAGCTTGATGCGAAACCGGTTCCTTCAAAGTTAAGCCTTTTTGAGGCTTCATGCGAACGGCCAACGATCTCGGATCTCGAGATGTCGGGTTTACTTACGGCCTGGTTCAACAACTAAAGTGTTTTACACTTGGCGAGCATGTGTATTCTCTTTGTTCAATCCATGCCCTCGTGATAGCTGCTCAGGACAACCTTCTCAGCACGATGAGGATTTAGGTTCTCGATGCTAAGTCAGGGAGAAGGGTCCAAACATCGGGCTGTCTGGCCCTGCTGTCGGGAAGAAAATCGCATGGTACAAACATCCTCGTTTGCCCAGCTCCCACACCCTAAACGCTCGAACCGGGCGTTGTGCCGCAGGCACGGCCGCAGGAGCTCCCCGCAAATGCTTTTTTTACTGGCAGGCGCGGCACTTTCGCAGTGTTGCAAGAAGAGAAACGTCCTGAAGTCCAGGTGGCTACTTTTTCAAAAATAGCCACCTCGGCTTGAAGCCCTTTCCAGGGCTTCAAAGAGCTTTGAAGTCGATTTGCTTGGCCAGCGTGGGACTTCGTGCATGTCGGAGGATTTTGGTGATTTGTTCGTGGGAGGCTGATTTTGGCAGAATTTGTGCTCTATGAATTGGTGTGTTTTTTTTTTGTGAAGTTCAAAGTATCGACCAAGGCTCCTTGTCGTGCAGCTGCTCATAAGGATGCTCTGCGGGCATGGATGGGGTCTGATCTGGACGTTAAAATGGTTGGGACATGCATGCTCTGCGGGCATGGATGGGGTCTGATCTGGACGTTATCATGGTTGGGACATGGATGCTCTGCGGGCATGGATGGGGTCTGATCTGGACGTTATCATGGTTGGGACATGGATGCTCTGCGGGCATGGATGGGGTCTGATCTGGACGTTAAAATGGTTGGGACATGGATGCTCTGCGGGCATGGATGGGGTCTGATCTGGACGTTATCATGGTTGGGACATGGATGCTCTGCGGGTGGATGGGGTCTGATCTGGACGTTATCATGGTTGGGACATGGATGCTCTGCGGGCATGGATGGGGTCTGATCTGGAAGTTATCATGGTTGGGACATGGATGCTCTGCGGGCCTGGATGGGGTCTGATCTGGACGTTATCATGGTTGGGACATGGATGCTCTGCGGGCATGGATGGGGTCTGATCTGGACGTTATCATGGTTGGGACATGGATGCTCTGCGGGCATGGATGGGGTCTGATCTGGACGTTATCATGGTTGGGACATGGATGCTCTGCGGGCATGGATGGGGTCTGATCTGGACGTTATCATGGTTGGGACATGGATGCTCTGCGGGCATGGATGGGGTCTGATCTGGACGTTATCATGGTTGGGACATGGGTGCTCTGCGGGCACGGACGGGGTCTGATCTGGACGTTATCATGGTTGGGATATGGATGCTCTGGGACATGGATGCTCTGCAGGATCGGATAATTACTGGGCACCCGGATGGGGTCCGAGTGCGGCGTAACGGCTGGTTCGAGGGCTAAACTAGCATCCTGAAGGATGGAACAGATCCTCCAACGAAGTATGACTTTTGTCAGATGCCGACAAGAGACCTTGAATGACATTTCACTACAGTAAGTAATTATAACTGTAGCAGTCAAGTCTGCAGTCTAAAAGTGCCCACTGCAAAGCCTTTGGGCCCGACACCTTTTGCCCGTAATCCCTTTTAACCTCCAGAAACCCCAGCAGGCAAAGCCTTCGGGTGCCATGCGCTGGTTTTGGGTACAGATTCTTGGTTACCTACTAGTTCAGTGTTGGGATAGGATTAAACATGTACATTTTCATTCCTTATTGGGTTTAAGTACCCGTAAATAAGTAAAATGCTATCCAACTATGACAAAGTTACGAAGAGTTTCCAGGCCCAGGGTGGCCCCGGGATAGCTGACTTTCTCTTCAACAGGCGATTGCTGCAAGGCGGTGGCCCTCTGAGATTTCTTATTCCGGAGTTGCATCTCGTTGCTCTCCTTGACCCCCTTCAGAACTGAGCTGTGTGAGGTGTGACAGCTTGGCGACATCTGGTCAATGATGGAAGGAATACGGACCAGCTTACTTTGTTCGTGAAACGGCAAGATGGTGCCGGTCTATCGCGCATCCGTTCTTGTAAGTTTTTCTTCACTCAGAGCCTATGTGCAGTCCTGCGTCCGTCCACCACATTGGCTGAAAGTCAGGATGGGCTTTCATGGCAGATTCTGCCAGAGGTGATTGAGGATCTGTTCTATATTGACTCCCCAACCCTGCGCCCCGACCGACAAAACCGAGTGCAGGTGCAGGGCCGTCCTGCCTGCTTCTCCACGACCTTCCATGTCTTGCTGCCGGCATTCAGGTTGAGAGCCAGGACATCCTTTCAGCTCCCAGGCCGAAACGAACTAAACCTACATATCCTGACAACCGGACCATTGTGGTGATGAACATGGGGATGAGTAGGATGCTGATGGCGCTGAACAGGGGAAGGCCAAGACGAAAGGGGGTTCACTCCGAAGTCATCAATTGCGGATAGGTCTGGCTGTTTTGCCTCGTAGTGTTGCTTTTGGCACTTGCGCCAAGTTTCCACTGAGGAAATTCGAAGCCAGGCGACCGACTCGACCCTGTATAGCCCAGACCTTGAAGCATGAATTCCTTGGCTCCAGACTTGACAGCAGATTTCTATCCCGGTCGCGACATGTCGAACTAGTAGGATAGTATCTGATCGTGTACTGCTGTACACTTTGTGTAGCCTGACATCGAAAAGGCATGCACATTCGCTATAACATGAGATGATTGATGTGATCATGGTGGCATCGCAAAGCGTAGCAGCTTCACGATACTTCAAGGACATACCATCACCATCATCACCATCATCGTCAGCTTCAACCGAGCTAGAGACCTCACTTCAAAGGCGGCTTGCGCTACCGGCTCCAGCACATGTTCTGAAGAATCCGTCAAGCCGCACTCCTGAATCCTCGCACCGACATCTCGAGACCAAGCCGGAATCTCATCCAAACCTGAAAGTAGAAACGCTTAGTCCAGGTGCACTGTAGGTGCGGAACTCCGTCTCCTGCACAGCTGTGTCAAGCTCGAGGAATCGGGCTCTTCCAGTGGGTCTTGGCTGGTTTGTTTCGATCCCGCTGGAGGAGATTGGAGGCACAGGGGCCTGCAAAGCCACATAGCGTGCTGCTGTCTCATTTGACAGCATCGCCCCCAGCAGTTGTTTTCGCAACTCCAAACTGCCTCCGCCGGCTGGATTTACAAGGGCACGCAGAGTAGTCATGCCAAAGTGAGACATTCAAGAGATACCTCCGCCCTTCGTCGTACGACTATCACAGTTACACCAGAAGCCCGTGACTGCCTCGTGGTGCTTTGCCACGCCGTCCTTGTCTTCCTCGGGCAGTGCTTCAGGTTCAGGATGTAGGGTTCAGGGTTTAGGTCGGTCTATAGGCTAGGAATCTCGAGATCTTCAGAGCAGAGTCCTCTAGGCATTCGGCCTTGAGAACAATAATTCCCTGCGGCAAAACATGTCATATGAAGTTGAAGCCTCTGGTCATTGCGAACCCATATCTGCAAAGTCATAGTCTCAGAACCTGAGTTCGAATTGGCAGGCCCTAATCAAATATGGACAGTATGTCAACATCTAATGCCATCCGGCACGTGGCCTTGAGACAAGACACGCGGACTGCAGAAAATTAGATTGTCCGTCATACCCATACATCTGGATCCCAAGGTAGCATTCAAAAACTCAGTTCCCAGTTACAACGTTTTTTGGCGCACTGTTACATCTCCAATCCCTTCAACCTTCGTGCAGTAGGAGAGGCAGGCCCCTTCGCAGTGAGGAGCTCTGTCTCGGGAGTCCAGTGGCCTCCCAATGTCATCAGCCAACCAGTGTGGAGGACCTGAGAGGTAGAAAGATAGGGAGAATCATATAGAATAAGGCTTTGGTAATCTTTGGTAAGATTCAGTGCAAGTTTCGGCTTTGACTAATTATTGTTGAACGCTTCGGGCGGTGGTTTCAGAGTTTCAGGATTGGCTTAGTTTCTGCTTTCTGGGTTCTGCCTGCAATGAGGCCTGCCTGCAAAAGGTGTAGTTTTCAGCTTCAGAATGAAGACTGAAAGCCTGAGGCCCTGATTGCTGGAGGTTGATGTGTAGAAATCCGGACCATGTAAGCGGTTACACGCTGCGCCGTGTCGTAGTTGTCGAAGTCCAAAGGCTCCAAAAAGCCCCGAAGCCGACGACCCTGAAGCAAGGGGTTGGAAGCCGAGACTGTGATGACGGCTCTTTGAGCCGGATTTGGGAGTCCAGTAGTCGGATCTGCCTGTCCTGCAGCCGGTTATTGCAACTGGGCCACAAGACTCTCCGGTATCTGCACACTTTCCATCCCTTTGACAAAAGTCGGCCAGGAGGGATCCTCTGTTTCGCTTTGCTCCAGCCCGAATGGCCTGAAAATCAGCTTTGGGACCCTTTGGGATCTTGAGATCTGAGGCCCCTGGCAAAAACGCCGGGAGAGCTGCGTGCGGCCGCGAGGTTTCCCAGACGTACCCATTCTGAGGGTTTGGCACCTTGTGCTGAAGAAAGGATTTCTGCGCCGGCTGCCTACATTGACATGTGAATGCCTACATACATACATACATACATACATACATATATACATACATACATACATACATACACACGCAAATATGTATACATACATATATATATGTACATATATCGCATACATACATACATATATATATATATATATGTATATATATATATGTATATATATATATAGACACATATACAAGGTGACGCGAAGCTCTAGATAATTGAAAGAGTCCACCTTCGGGATTGCAAACCGGATGCGAGCCACAGGACCGATTCAATCAAGCTGGAACTGGGAACGTCAACAAGTTCGGTCTGCTTACAACTTCTCAAGCCATTAAACGGTGTTCAGACTGCACTTGGCCAACTGGCTAAGGCTTTCCATTGATGTTTGCGCAGTCTGCGACATGGTATACCTAGAGCGCCTCTGAGAGTAGCTTCGGCACCTGTTGTAACCTATTGTACTGAGTTTACAGGGCTGGGACACAAAAAATTATAGCCCTCAGAAAAGTCGATGGACAGTGGGGAAAATCAGCCGTCAAATGTTGGCTCCAGCCGAGGTCCTGAAACGAAGATCGGGTAACCGATTGGCTGTAACTGGCACCGGCACCGGTGCTACTGTTGTCGCATCTCCCTCTACCAAATACTACCGCAACTACGACAACCTAAGTTACTGCAACGACGACAACGACGAAAAAAAGACGATGCTGTTGCTGCTGCTGCTGCTGCTGCTCCAGTGCTACTACGACTACGACTGCTTCTACACCGCTACCACCGCTACCAAGGCCACGACGACGACTACTGGGACTACGAAGCCTACTTCTGCTGCCACCACAATCCCTCTGGGGGCATATGTTGGCAACCCACAACCCTTCCCAGATTTCACGTGCAATCTAAGGCCTCGAGCTTCGTGCACACAACCGCGGAGCTGAACCCTTAGAGCCTATCTTGAGCTCCGAGCTGGGAAGAGGCACGCGCCAGGTGTCTTCACAGCGGTTCCATTTCCTGCTTCTGGGGGCAGCTGTCTGCGGCACTCGATCTAGAATAGGCTTGAGGTTTGGGGTCGGGCTGCCTGCAAGCAAGATTCCGTCTCTCCTGCTGCTGTACCCTGCAAGCTTAATTGGGCTCCTGGAGTGCTGAGCGATGAACCTCCGTCCATGGCGCAGACATCCGACTAAATCAGAAGTCAACGCAGAAAAGTAGATGCCCAACCATACTGAAGGCCCACAGCCCTTACTTCACACCCGGCTCCCTGAACCCTTCAGTGACCAAGCACAGCATAGAAATCTAATGCCCCCAAAGATCTTGCCAAACCTACAGACCCTCGGCAGACGCCTTGTTCCCATCTGGAACTGAAGACTCAACATAAACACCCTCAACACCTGAAGCCTTCAGGACACAAAAACCTAAATCCGAGCCCTGCAACCAGATTCAACAACCGACAGAACCCAACCCTATAAGCAACTACGCGTATGAAACCCCGGCATCTGTACCCTTATAGTATCCTCCAAGGAAGCCGAGGCCATCCCCAAACCCAAATCCAAACACTCCATCGACGGGCCTGCCGCCCTCTTTGGCATGTTGCCCTCCGAACATAACCTGGGTTAGAGATCTGCAATTTGTTGCTTGAAGCCCTATCCCTGGCGCGAACAGTCTGACATGGCACCCCAAGAACAAGTGAGGCTACAGGTCCGGGGACTGGTTAGCGTTTGTGAGTGGGTGGAGGCTGATCTTCAGGCGAATGACTCAACTTGGTTTTTGCCCCTCTGCCAGAGATTGCGTGTGGGCGAGAACTGCGATTAGTCGGTCGTTCTTGGCAGGGGTTCAGGGCTGTGCAAACAAAACTTGCGGCGGCCAAAGCACGAGCCATTTGCCATCTGGAGAGATGGCAGTTGCGTGATCTGCCTCCAGCAAGATGTTTTTGCCATACAAAAATGACAGGGTAAAGCGCGTGGGGCAGGAAGAGCAAGCAATAGTGGAGGCTAGCAGCGGTGCCTGTGGAAACTCCATCCCCAACCGTGCTGATACCGATGGCACGTTTTCCAGTGTTATCTGCCATCTTGATGCAGCTTCTTGGGCACGCATACAAACACACATACATACATATGGATGTATGTGTATGTCTCCAACTACACCCATGTCGATATATATATATATATATATGGTACACCCCCCGGAATCCACGCCCTGAAGCCTTGCTTCAACTGCGATCCTCGAATGCGTGGTCAAGTTCTTTACTCTTTCCTTTGGTTTCTTGTCCTTTCTCTTGAATGCGTATGTTCAGTGAGTCGGTGTGGTACAGCTCTTGTTGTGTATGTGTACATGTGCATGCATTAACACTGCGCGTGAATGTGTACATGTACATGCATATGCAGCTGGATGTGAAACTTGACATGCTTCTGTATGCGACTGACAAGAAGCCAAGGCCACGACAGGAGCACATTCTTCGAGACCGTTCCGAAAAAAAACGAAGCCCATAGGCCTTTAAATGAGCATATTCATCGAGACAGTCCCAACAAAACCAAAAGAACCAAAGGTTCCGGAACTTATCCGAAATCGGAAATGAGCATATTCCTCGAGACAGTCCCAAAAAAACAAAATACCAAAACCCATGGGCCACGAAATGAACATATTCATCGAGACAATCCCAAAAAACCAAAAATACCAAAGATTCAGAGCTATCCACAAAGTTCTTTTCTCAAGACAGCCCCAATGGCTTGGAATCGTTGGTATTTCTGTTTATGTTGGGACCGTCTCGAAGAATATGCTCATTTAGAGGCCTATGGGCTTTGGTACATTTGGTTTTTTGGGACTGTCTCGAAGAAGATGCTCATGTAGAGGCCTACGGGCTTTGGTATTTTTGGTTTTTTGGGACTGTCTCGAAGAATATGCTCATTTAGAGGCTTATGGGCTTTGTATTCTTTTTTTTTGGACTGTCTCGACGAATATGCTTGGTTCGTGGCCTACGCGCTTTGGTGTTTTTATTTTTTTTGGGACTGTCTAGAGAAACGGCCTTTGGGATAGCTCTGAATCTTTGGTTTTTTGGGGCTGTCTGGAAGAATATGCTCATTTAGAGGCCTATGGGTTTTGGTATTTTTTTGGGACTGTCTCGAGAAATCTGCTCATATCCAATCTCGGACAGTTGGGCCACCAAAGGCAAATCTTTAGTTGCACAGTTGTACGAATACAGACTCGAAACAAACCTTGTGGATGCCAGGTTAGTTCATTCTCCAGCCGCGCTCTGCAAACATGCGTGTTCGTTCATGCTCAACTCGTGTCAAATCAAGCTTCATCCGGCGATATCTTTTCGAGTTAATCACATAAGTCCCTTCTTCAAAAAGCTGTAATTCAACGGGGGGGCTTTCCAGATCTTGGGCTCTTCCTGATTCTCCTTATATGCATAGTTTATCTGCAAGGTATTCTGTAGGGTACCCTATTCTATAAGGTATTCCATATGGTAACCACAACTGAGCCCTCCAAGAGACCCCGAAATATAAGTTTAAACTTGTAAAGTTGATGATGCGTATGAGCATGGCCGCAACACATAGCTCATGCAGACGCTTTTGACCGCATGATGGTCGTCTCCATTTCGCAAAGGTGCTTCGCCTGGCAGGCGCTTGGGCGGGCACTTGGGTCCCGCCGACTGAAGGGTGTATTGAGTAATAGTAATCAGGCTACAGAATCCCGCTGAGGCCTCAACACTGGGACTAAAAGCCCTACACCCTGCCGTACAAATCCTAAACCTTCAACCCAAATGTTGAAACACCGCAAAAAGCTCCCTGTGGGCAAGAGACCCCTAAACTCCACATCCCATGTCATTTCGCCACACAGCCCTGGGATCCTTGTCATAGTACGTCACTAGCAGTGCAGATGCCGATTCAAGCACAGCCAACACAGGATGAGTCGAACTAATGTCTCGGATTCCAATGCCGGTTTACGGTTTAGGGGTTTAGAGTTATCATTGACCGTAATGGTAGTGGTAAGAATCTGACAAGACGCCATGCCAATGTGAGTCAACGACGCGATTCCAATGCCGGTTGACGGTTTAGGGGTTTAGGGTTATCGTTGATCGTGACCGTAGGGGCAAGAATCTGACCAAACGACATGCCAATGCGAGTCAACAACGCGAAACAACAGGTGTCATGCTTGCATGGTAGCGGCGTGCGGCAATGTCAAACGGTCTCACGACTAGCATGATGTCAGCAACACGCACACGGCTGCAAAAAATGCTCGTCGTCATGCCTTCCTCGTCCTTGACAGACCTTCTGCAGATCGTGCGACAACATGCAAGATGGTGCATGCAAGTGCTTCTCTCCACAGGGCACTGGATGATAGATTTCAGCAGCATTCGCCGACACCCATCATTTCCATGGTTTTTGCTGACCCTGGCTTCCGAGCCCCAAAGCCCAAACTTCGAGAATCGAGCCCTCGATAATTGAAGTGCCTAAATCGACAACGGTTCTCGAAGAACATACCCAAACGCTGTTTGGATGTAGGTTGGTGTGGTGGGACCCACCACACCATAAACCCCTCAACCAAACAGCCATACATGACGCAAGCAAGCCCTGCAAGGCCAAAGCGAATGCACGATTCTGTGAGGAATGTTGTGAAACCTTGGAAGTTTTGAGCCTACGACCCATATGGCTGCTTGGTTTAGGGGTTTAGGGACGGCTCTTCAAGAACATACCCGAACGCTCTTTGGATGTAGGTTCAAGACCAAAGTGAATGCAGGATTCCTTGAGGAGTGTTGTGAAAACCCTGGAAGCCCTCAGCCTACGACCCATATGGCTGCTTGGTTTAGGGGCTTAGGGACGGTTCTTGAAAAACATATCTGAAGGCTCTTTGGATGTAGGAAGTCCTGAGCCTACGACCCAGATGGCTGTTTGGTATAGGGGTTTAGGGTTATCGTAATGGTAGTGGTAAGAAGAATCTGACATGGTTTAGGGGTTGAGGGTTATCGTAATTAGTAGTGGTAATGACACAAACAAGCCCTACAAGGCCAAAGTGAATGCAGGATTCCTTCAGGAATGTTGTGAAAACCCTGGAAGTTTTGAGCTTACGACCCATATGGCTGCTTGGTTTATTAGGTTTAGGGACGGTTCTTGAAAAACATACCCGAACGCTCTTTGGATGTAGGAAGTCCTGAGCCTACGAGCTTAGGGTTATCGTAGTGGTAGTGGTAAGAAGTATCCGACATGGTTTAGGGGAATCTGACAAGACGCCATGCCAATGCGAGTGAACAACGCGAAACAACATGCATTGTCATGCTATAATTCGGATGGTAGCGTCGTGCGGCAATGTCAAATGGTCTCACAGCTAGCAGTAACGCGCACACGGCTGGAACCTCGTCGTCCTGCCTTCCTTGACATCTGCAGATCGTGCGACAACGTGCAAGTTGGTGTATGCCGTCGCAGCACCGGCGCCCAAAATGGCCGTAGTGCGGTTAAAGCCCTCTGATTTCCAAGGCAATCAGGGACTTATATCTTCCATGGTTTTGCTGACCCTGGCCTCCGAACCCAAAGCACAAACTTCGAGAACCGATGATTGAAGTGAATGCCTAGAGGCCGCACCCGAAAACTAAGATCCTCAACACACTAAATCCTAAGCCGTAAACCTCTAAACCGTCGAAACCTGTACACCCAGGGGCATGGACAAAAACGGCCACACCACCGTCGGTATACCAATTACCTCTGACGTTTTGCCTAGCATGCGTAGCTACAAACCAGGACCTATAACCACGGGCAGCAAGATACTGTGCGAGGTCAGCCTGCTTAGCGGGCAGCATGCAGTGCTCTTGAACCACCGCAACGGCAGGCTTGTGCAGCAACACCCATCGAGCGAAAGCCCATGTGTTTGCAGCACCGCCGGCATTGACCATGCAAGCTTGGAGACAAGAGCTGGCTTCGTGTGGCCCCGGATTTGGTTCCACGTCGCCGTCGTCAACCACGTCATGAATCCATTCACAGTTCTGCGCAGGAGTGAGTCCCCTGCACCCACCAGTGCGGATGGTGGACTCAAGATGCTCCAGCTCAGATCGACGAAGGCTCCAGTTTCTGACATAGAAATGGGCAGTTTCCTGTGACTGTTTCCTTTTCCTACGCCAAAAAGCCCGTCTATTCTGGCTTTGCATGATGCGCTCACGATCTTTGTCACCTTGGCAGGCATGCTTGCGGATGTCCTTGAACTTTTGACAAATGAGCGTACACCTAGCACAACCAAAATGATCACTACCTCCCGTGCAAAATTTCTTAGGCACACGAAAAATCCACCCGGGTCCCTTGGCATTGTACTCCCGAATGATTTCATCGGTGCTGGCTCGCTTAGCAGCAGCGGTGTTGTCCACAGTCTTCCTGTGCTTGTCCTTCCAAGGCTGGCGGTTGTAGCAACGTTTCTTAAGCTGCTTCTTAGAGAGAAAGTAGCACTCGACCTCGTGCGCTTGAGACCTAGCTTTAAGCGCTCTAACGGACATTCCGTGTGGTAGGCCCTTTTTGCATTTGCTGCACGACCAAGCCCTCTGTGAGGCCGGGATATCGCTAGGCTGCACAATCTTGATGCGCTTCTTAAAAGCAGGCTCCACAAGGTGAGCCTGCTTAGGATGCACAGCTTGAATGTGACGCCGCCTGGCACAAGCAACAGATCTCAGCATACGACCTCGAAACACTTCTTGGCAAAGGTTGCAAGGCCACACGAACGGCCCAGTAGCCTTTTTGAGCCCCTCTCCAGAAGAAGTCTTCTTGTCCTCAACACCTTTACTGCTACTGGCAGAAGCAGCAGCCTTCGGAGTAGCTTCAGGTCTCCAGGCAGCTTGCTGACGCCTCCGCTTGCTGCTAGCTGAAGCGGTGGCCGAAGCGGAAGCGGTGGCCTTCGGAGTCTCGTCTGGTCTCCAAGCGGCTTGCTGGCGCGAC